CCTTCATCAGAGACATGAGCAGGAAAGAGTAGCGGAAACGGGCGATACATACACAGGACACAGTCATTACTGCATACGACAATAAATAAACAACTCTGAATACTGCAACTTTCTGCGCCTGTATCACCTGTTTCTGCTATTATTTTCTGCTGATGTCTCTGGTGAAGTATCCGCGACGGCTGTCGAAACTTCAGGCGAATAAAAGTGTTGTCCCTGCGATCGACCCTTCTTCTTCGTCTTCTTCTTCTCAAGCAAAATGTTATCAGAGGACAACAATTTGTCCAAAGTGCAAGGTGTTGTTTCCGGACTATGATTATTTCATCTGCTCTCAGAGGATAGCTGAAAAAAACCTTGGAGGAAGTAGGAAAATGTATTTACTTACTTACTTATTTACTTACTTACTTTCCCTAATACATTTTGCGTTATGGTGAAGACCACCTAACTTTTTTGCCCGATCGGTACTTTTATTTCTGTCGCATCTCGTCCCTCAGAGATGTAGAAACATGGTAATTGTCTGCGTTGGCCTAACGGTATCTGCGGAACATCACTCTCGTCAACTTCTATGAGCTTATTAGTCGTAGAGACGCACTCCTTTGCTGCGTGTCCGCAGACAGCGATATACTTGGTCGTTTTGATCGATAGCCACTTCGAGGAAGGCAACGATGGCATAATTAGTACAACTGAATGACATCGTGTAGTTTTGTGACCACCTGTCCGCATGTTCACCTTAGTGGCATTTATGTAAGGTCAACTGTTTAGTAAGAAAACGGCCTAGAGGAACAAAAATGTTTTTATCTTGAACAGTTCATCTTATTAAAACAGTTAACTAAGTCGTAGCATTATTTCATGGCATTATTAGATTCTCTCTGCTTTGTCACTCTTATCTACCTAAAAGTACCTATCAGTCAAACCGACCATTTATATGGCTGTCTGTGGAACATACAGCAAAAGTGTACCTCACTACGTCTAAGAAGCTCGTAGAAGCTGAAGTAAAGGATAGTTAGGCCAACGTAGAAAATTACCACGCGCCTTTGTCTTGTTCACACTTATCCCCCCGACAAGACGGTATTTCCATTTCCTAACACCTTGTATCTTGCCGCAGATGCCTCTTTAGCATTTCTCAAACTGGCAAAGCAGTCATTAACGTTTCTAGACGGACGAAATCACCTGCCATTTAAATAAGCGAACTAGGAGGAAGGTGTCTACCGACACAAAGTAATAACGACTTTTCTCAGCACGGATTAAACTCTTTGTCCCAGTTGCTACCCATCGTCACTATCGACAGCCTCGTATTGGTGCTGTGGTGCCTTCCACTACCGACTCATACTCCCTAACGCACTTAGAGGAGGACAGTTCGATTCAATTGTGCTTTCTTGCTACGTTAAGCCTCAACTTCACTTACTCTGGCCTGCCAAATGACAATTCTCTACTGGTATCTCTGGTTATGATCATAACGATGCTAACGGCGTCCTTCATCTATATGAGACATTTTCATTCCAGTCAGCCTAGTTGCATCAGCTTGAATTTATGTCCAATTCCATCGGATCATGAGACATCACGTGGTGTGCCGCTGTTCACAAAGTAGTTGAAAGGCTGAAGCCAAAGAATTGCTCTTTGGTTCAATATTTTGCCGTCAGCTGACGCTGAAAAGTGTTCCTAAAGCGGGCAGCACTATCGTCATTAATTCTCTTGTTGTCGTTATGCGAAGCTGGCTCGTTTGCCTCTTTGTAAGCAAGTGTTCTTTTTATTTTTGGTCAAATTTATAGTAGGTTTGGTATTGGTTTTTGAAAAACAGGACTTATTCAACTACCCCTTGTATGCTTGTTTTTCGAAGAGCCACTCTTTGCAGAAACGTCAATTGTCAGTTGGAGTTTCTAGACCCATAAACAGAAACTCATCCCAACAGCCGAGAGTCGAACGGTCGAACTATCGTTTTATCCTCTTCAGCATCATCTACAATAAGTCAATCACTGAGACATCTTACTCTTGTAATTGCTCCTTCAAACGAAAGATTTTGCAATAAACAAGTATGAAAAGAAAATACTTGGGATTCGCGTTCCTCTTAGATTACAAGTTTTCTGTTAAAGGTTTCCAGTGTCTTATCGTTACTCTTATACAGTCACGAGTATCAGTCGGATACTTTTTTAAAACTTTTCTTAGGCAATTAGGCCCTTCTTGGTAATTTTACTTGCATGAAGTTCCCTAAATTAGGGTTTTTTACGTTCTTCTTTTGGCCATCAAGTTTTTACTGCAACCTTAAACTTAGATAAGCCATTTTCAGTGCAAATTTATGAGAGTTCTTTGCAAAATGGGATTCCTAGACCAACTCGGCTAATGAGTAGTACATTCAGTACTTTAACTGGTTTGATTACCGGTTCCGTTTTTTCTTCCAAATTAGCTAGATCAGTAATTCAGGCACGGACTTTTGCCGAGCCTCAAAAGAATCTATTAGTTTTTTTCGAAGAAATCGTATCCCCAGGTTCTTGTTCGGCCTGCCAAAAGGAAAGATTTTATATTTTTCCTTGTCTGTCTGTATTTCTCGCTGGTACCTCTGTCGTCAATTACGGTGAGCCAGTCAAGATATGTATGCTCTTTGTTATCTCTGTTGAGCCGGCAAGCTCATTGCGTTCTGTATTTAGGTAATCTGTGTTATACAGTCATTATAGCTTTCTTCAGGTCTTTTTCTGTTCGCTTCTGAATCGTCAGTTCATGAGGATAGATAAATGATAGAGTCACATTTAATGCTCTTTGCTGTTTTTTTTAGAGTTTAGGGACGATCTGTTGCAGTTCTTATGGGCTCGCCGTTTTGTTTCATCTTTACCATTTTGTGAACATAATTCTGTGGGTACCAGTCAGGACCCGTTGTTGGGCGTCTCATTCAACTACATTTTTTGCCTCTAATCTCCTTTCAGCGTTCTGCATGAAAGTCTACCGTTTACGTGTAAAGCCTTCATGCTTTTTTCAGTTAAAAAAACAATTTCTCCGCCATAAACTTTGAGTCAATTAAGGAGCAGATTCTATCACTATTATCTAGCCCCTTTTTACAAACTGCGCGAAATTCCGAGACGTGACAATGATAAATTTTGCACGAAATTTGTCCGAATTCGTTCTTGGGTCCTTCACCGACATTTATATTCCAAACCATTTTTTTACCATCAGTAGCTTGACATTAACCTTAGCCGAATTTGCTCATATTAAAACTTATTTTCATCCACTCGCGGCTGAGCTGATTAAAGTGTTTCGGGAAACCATTGTACTGAAAGGGTATGTGCAATTGCCGTGCAAAGTATACTTGAAATGTTTGTTTCACTTTTTAAGTGTTTTGTGTTAAAACCCTTTTAACCCCAGATGAAAATGACTGAATCTGGATGAATTTAAGAGTGTTGCTTTTATCTTTCCCCTTGCCGAGCAAAGCAAATATTTCGTATACTCTGCTAATGTACCAACTCATTACATTCTCAATTTTTTTGACAGACTGCCGCCACCGAACGTCCGAAACTCTC